TTATTAAATCTTTCTTTAAAAGGTTGTTTCTGTAGCTCCTATATTGTTTTTTCTTCTGTGCTTATGTTGTTTGTTAAGGTGGCTTTATATATCATGTTGTTTGTTAGGCATTTGTTTTCATTTCAACAATTGCATTTGTTGTTGTTTTGTTGATTTGTGTTGTTGTGGTTATTATTATCTTTATTGAGTATTTTTATTGTGTTTGGTTATTAATTTTTCTATGTTATCCATGCAGCTGTAACTGATTTTTACTGTATTTTTGTGGATGATTTTTGATAGTTTGTTGTGTTTGGAAAAATGTTTTTCAATTATTTTGAAGAATATTTTTCCTATTTTTTATTTTATTTTATTATTGTAGAGTGGGTTGAACCAAATTGTTTCTTTTTCTATTGTGCTTTCATTTGTATATTCTTGCTTGTTTGGATATCCACTATTTCTTAATGCTGTTTCATATGTTTTATGTTTTCTTTGAATATTTTTCTGCTGCTGGAATTTGTTGATATTCTTTTGTTTATGAATATGTGCTTGAATATGTTAGGAGGTTGGTTGGAGTTTTTGTTGATGCATATAGGATTGTTGTTTGCTTTTCTGCATGGTTTGTATGTGTTGTTGTTTAGATTGAATGTAATAACTATTTTTAGGTTAGATTTTATGTCTATTTTAAATCCTAATTTGTTGAAGGTTTTTATCTGTTTTCTTATTCTTTTCTGTAGTTCTGCTGTTGCAATTTCCTATTATTATTAGGCTGTTGTCACTGTATAGACCTGTATCATTTAGCTTAAGGATGCGTGTTAATTTATTGATGATGTATATGCCTATTAATTCACATATAAAAGCACCATTATAACTGCCCAATGTTACATCAAAGGTATCATCAATATTGATATTGTTATTATTGGTGCTACGTTTTTTTGTCTATATTTTATTGTCATAGTATAGTATTGACTTTCCTCAGTGTTTGAAAATGTTTAGATCTTCGTTTGGGATGTTTATGCATTACTTTGCCAGGTCTAGTACATTGTTCAGTGTTTTCATTGATGGATGGGTGAAAATCTTTTCTGTCTTGTTGTATAAAGAAACACTTTTTTTATGTTGGTGATGTTGTTAAAGCAATTGTTTTTGTATTTTTCCATTGCTTTATGTTTAGTATGCTCCTTAACTTTATGCAAATAAAGTATATTTAGGCAGCAAGTATTCATCCAAACAAGTTTGACTAAATAGAACCAACAAGGTTTTTTTGTTTCATTTTTTATTATACTTTTATAACTTCCAGATAGGATGTTGAGTATTATGTTTGAAATCGTGGATAAACTGTTTTTTTTTTAGTTTTGTTCAAGTACTTTTAACTTTCCAGTCACTATCAAGAACTCATGTGATGTCTGTCTGGTAGTTTTTACCTCCTTTACATTTTGGTATTCATTCATATGCTGGATGTTTGAATGAGGCAGCACAAGAAGAGTGCTATTTATTTATTCTATTTTATCAATTAATTTATTGATGTGTGCACATATTATATTAGTATTAAAAATTAACAATTAATTGATAAAATAAAATAAATTGTATTCTTTTTGTACTGCTTCATTCCTAATATGACATGTTAGACAATTCCAGCATCTGAATTCTAAGGAATTCTAACTACTACACAGACACAACATCAGTTCTTGATAATGACTGGAAAGTCAAAAGGACTTGATCAAAAATAAAAAAAATATGAACTTCGGACAATTTATCCCCAACATTGAACATAATACTCTATGTATTATCTGGAAGTTGGAAAAGCATAATCAAAAATTATATATATATATATATATATATATATATATAATTTCACCCTCAAGTATCATGATAAAACAACTAAGATGCAACTGTTTAAGGAGTCTGAAAGAATGTGAGAAAAAAAAGATTATTAAGGAGAGAGGACAATCAAAGATCAGAAAGTAAGGAGACAGATGCTGAAGATTGATCTTATATGATTGATCTTATATATATATATATATTTATATATATATATATGTGTGTGTGTGTATTTATATATATATATAAAAATACATAGGAAAGAGAGAGAGTGAACAAATGTAGATAAACACTCAAAACTCAAAAGATTCTTGTAAAAGATTTTACAATTCTGGTCTTGGCAAGCTTTCTGTTACAAATCAGTTTCATGATGTTGATCTTCAAGTACGAAGCCTCAGTTCTATTTACGATATTGAGCATATTTAGGTTTTCATTTATTGCCATGCAATTAACAGTTGTCTTTAGAGAAAATTTGTTTAGTGTATTTAATAGGCATTTGTCAAAATATTTACTTTGACAATAATACAATTATTCTTATATGACTCTGAGAAGCATTAATATTGGGTCAGTCATAAACAATATCATGATTTTTTATTATTTATTTATTAGCCTGCCAACCTGCCTCATTGTGCTACTGGCAATACTTGAGTTGTTTGTAATAAAGTTTGCAGATCATCATCTGGACTGAGGAGATACATGTTGGTACACAGAAGCAATGTAGGGCATGCAGATCCAATGAACCCAAATCAAGGATTCAGAGTTTATCTTTCCCATATACTTGATAAGTATGGGATCAAATATTGGTTTCAAGAGTAATCTTCAGAGCCATGGATGCTGAAATGAGACTGAAGCTATCATAAAGAATGTGAGGACTGAGGAAGGCAACTCTCATTGGAAAGAGATGTGGGAATTACCATATATATGTATATGATGTCACACATTATGAAATGGACAAAGTCCGACAATTATTTTAAGACATTTATGTTTATACATTCTTTTTATAAATACAAATATTTAAGTAAAATGATCTGTTTATAATAAACAGATATAGATTCGATGAATGTCAAAAGGAAAATGTCGGAAGATCCTATACCAATATTTTTCTATGAAACAGATTTCCTCGGACATTCAGGTTGGTAACATTATAAATAAATGTTTATTATAAAACAGAGCATTTACTTAAATATTTGTATCTATAAAAAAAGAATGTATAAACATAAATGTCTTAAAAATATATATATATATATATATCTTGCTTTCACTTGTGCTCAAAGTTCTACTACGGTTTCAGCTATGAAGCAAGCCTATGATTGCTTCTTAACAAGGAAATGTCTTATCCCTGACTCACATTTTTCACTGACATGAAATGGAATGATTATATTGAATCAATTGCTAGATCTACTGCTAGGAAAGTTGATTCGCGGTGTTGTGCTGGAGAATTTTTCTTGTTAGAATCCATCTTGCACATTTATAAATTTATCATTCATCCATGCATTGAATATTGCTGCCATATCTGGTCTGGTGCTCCTGTTATATATCTCGAGATTCTCAACAAAATTATAAGAAGGGTCTGTAATGTAATCAATCCTAACCTTGCATTTTGGTTTCAGTCACTTTCTCACAGATGTAACAAGTTTTCCCTCTGTTTTTTGTACATATAATTTCAGGGCATTTGTTCTAATGAGCTTTCATTCTTGGTGCCTTGACAGCATGAAGTGTACTACTAGATTGGCAACTAGGTCTCACTATTTTACTGTTGAAATTGCTAGATGCAACCATCAGTGCTATTCTAATAGTTTCTTTTCTCATACTTCTCATCTGTGAAACTCCTGCTCAACTACTTGCCTCTTTACCACCTACAATCTTCAAAAGTTTAAATGTGAAGCAAATTGTCATCTTCTGATTTCCTGAACCCTTTTCTTTTATTGTCCTTTCTTCTCATTCTCTTCCCCTTGCATCCAAGTGGCATTATGACCTTGTTTAGGGTGAAATGATTAAAAAGAAAAAAAAGAGCAGTGAAAAAGGTAAATGTCACGTAAAATTAAAAAAAATACGAAAAGAAAAGCAAACTGTTACCCAGCTCCAAGAGGTGACATTGATAAAAATCAATATCTGTCTATATTTCTCAGATAAAGTATTATATACACTGTTTACATTATTTGGACTATTGTCCTCATCTTTGTTGCCATATCTGTTACAACATTTCAGCTGTTGTATGCTTTGGCCTTTTTCAGGTGGTCGGAATGTCAAACTGAACCCTTTATTTCGCTTACTGGAGTAGACTGTTCTAGTTCCACGTGCCATGTTTAATGGATGTCAGTTATCAGTTATTTCCTCTTAATTCCCCTCTCCAAGTTCTTCACCGCCATAACCAGGTATTGAACTCACACTCTTCGGGTCCTGTCACTGGATCTAACTAATGCCTTTATTCACTGTGCCATGTGTCCTTAAGAGTTGTAAGTTCAATACCTGGTTAAAGCAGTGGAGAACTTTGAGAGATGAATTAACAGGTAATAACTTAAAGCCATTAAACATGGCACATGGAGCTAGAACAGTCTACGTACAGTGAGCGAAATAAAGGGTTCAGTTCGACATTCCAACCACCTGAAGAAGGCCGGAGCATACAATGGCTGAAATGTGATAAACATGGCGACAAAGATGAGGAGAATAGTCCGAATAATGTAAATAGTGTACATAATACCTCATCTCAGAAATATAGACAGATTCTCAAACAAATGCCTTACAAAGAAATTTCATTTTGATTTAAGATAAATTAAGGATTAATATAAGATGTATATATATATATATATATATATATATATATAGTCAAGTGTTTATATATTTGTGGATATTAACTCAGTAACCTTTAGCACATGGTGAATAGATATTTAAAAAAAAAAGGAAGCTGTGAGGATCGTTTATAGTTGAGGACTCTTGAAATCTGCAGTCTGTATTTTGTTTAGGGATTTAATAAAATACCTTTGGTTAATGTATTTGCTTATTTTTGGCTGGCTAGAATCTGATTTGTTTTTGCTGAGAGATGCTCAGATAAGCGGCCGAATAACATTTCCCCTCTGGAATGAACAGAACCCAACATTTACAAAGGAAAAGAAAGATTACAGATAAATATATGAGCCAGGAAGGCATCGACAGATTTAGGACAAGGGAAAACAATAGACGTAATTAATTGTACTAAATTCTAAAATCTAAGACCGCAACCTGTGGCAATGGGTCGTAGGTCTTGAAAGCTGCAAGTTAAAAATAAATTTAATGTAATGAAAATATAAACGGAGAAGAAAGAAAAAAGAGAGAAAAAGAAAAAAGGGAGGAAGAAGAGAGGAAGAAAGAAAAAGAGAGGAAGAAGAGAGAAAGAAAGAAAAGGAGAGGAAGAAGAGAGAAAGAAAGAAAAGAAGAGGAAGAAGAGAGAAAGAAAGAAAAGGAGAGGAAGAAGAGAGAAAGAAAGAAAAGGAGAGGAAGAAGAGAGAAAGAAAGAAAAAGAGAGAAAGAAAGAAAAAGAGAGGAAGAAGAGAGAAAGAGAGGAAGAAGAGAGAAAGAAAGAAAAAGAGAGAAAGAAAGAAAAAGAGAGAAAGAAAGAAAAAGAGAGAAAGAAGAGAGAAAGAAAGAAAAAGAGAGGAAGAAGAGAGGAAGAAAAAGAGAGGAAGAAGAAAGAAAAAGAAAATGATAGACAAAAGAGGAAGGAAAAAGAGAAATAGAGAGAAAGAAAAAACAAGAAAAAAAAACCCCAAAAAGCATGATAGAAAAAAAAACCAAGAGAAAAAAAGAGAAAAGAAAAAAAAGAGAAAAGAAAAAAAAGAGAAAAGAAAAAAACTCTCCCCACAAAAACCAAATGTTCTCTGAAAGCAAGAATCTTTTTACTAAAACTATGAAGATTCAATAATAGTCCCACCACAAATCAACAAAGGATATATTCAAAGACCCCCAACCAACGCGAACAGATGCTTGAAACCACAAATATTACTGAACCATATATATATATATATATAAAAAATATAAATTTTTATATTCTTGTATTATTTCAGGTTATTGTTCTTCAGGATGGTGGTGCAGTGGATATATAACTGGAAAGTATTTGGTTGAAACATTGTGTGTGTGTGTGTGTGTGTGTGTGTGTGCATGTATATATTTTATGTTTATACATTATTTTTATAGATATAATTTATTTAAGTAAATGCTCTGTTTATGAACTTAAATTATATCTATAAAAATAACATTTAAACAGAAAATAAATTAAATAAATTTAAATAATTGTTAGACTTAATCCATATATATATATATATATATATATAATGAATTTCCGTTTATTTGTCATTCCACCTTAATGTTCATATTTTAATATCCCTCCCTTTTTTGTTGAATAAATCTTTACCCCCCCACTCAGTTTGTTGTGTTTGTGGTTCTTTCTTTGGTCACATGGTATCATTTTGGTTATCGCCTATAAATATGCGTTTCCCTTTGCCTCTTTAGCCAGCTTTCCTGACGACCTGCTTAGGTGTAACCTCTAGGTAGGTTTGTCTGGCTCACTAGGTTTATCTAGGTCTGCTCTACAGTTGTATTGAGCTCTTTTGTTAGTTAGTTGTTTACTCGTATCGGGTTTTTTTCTTTGGGCTTCAAACCTGTATCTGTGCGATTTTTTTTGACAGACTTTCATGTTTCTAACTCTTTCTTTTTTTAAAACCTTTTTTTCCCCTTGAGATTGATTTGAGTATTGGAAAATCAAAAATTCGAAGGTTTTTCGAAACGAGTATAGTTACCTGTATTTGTATTTATATATATATATATATATATATATATATATATATATATACACACACACATATACAGACACACAATTTAGACAACACTAACTAATATAAAACAAATTCATTGAAAGTGCTAAATAGTGTGTGGAGCTGAAATAAATATAAACATAATTTAGTTTCTAAGATGAGTAATTGTCAATATGCTTATATTATTTTGAATTACTGTTCTCATTTTGGTATAGATGTTATTATTGACACAACGTTTCGACCAAGTATTCTCAGGTCGTCATCAGGTGTCCATTGATTGGATATCTGTCGATTGTGATATTTTTGTTTGTTCCTAATGAATTGGTGCTTCACTACCTGACACAAGGATAGAACTTGTGACCACTAGATGACAGTAACACAAGTATAACCAACTCTAATACCCACCATGTCACCATAATGATCCACAGTAGTTTGAAATAATACAAGAATATAAAAATTTATATTTTATAAATTTTATACTTGTTATATATATAAAAAAATCCATGGGTAAGTAATCCAATTAGATCCTATTAATATAAAATATTAAACAGATCCACAAAAGAGAGCTCAATATAATTTTATTATAGAGCATATAGTGACTATAATTAATGAGAATAAAACAATTTACCTCATAGATGATCATTTCATCCATGGAAAGTAGATTTTCTCTGGACTTATCAATGCAAATACATTTACTAAAAAAGTTTTTTTTTTTAGTAAATGTAAATATAAAATGCAAATACATTTACTACAAAATTTTTTTTTTTCTTAAATATATTTGCATTGGTAAGTCTAGGGAAAAACTACTTTCCCATGAATGAAATGATCATTTGTATGAGGTAAATTGTTTGGATCTCATTAATTGTAATTCACCTATATATATATATATATATATATATATATATATATATATATATATATATGGTTCAGTAATTATGATAAAGCTTAATTTATAAATTAGTTATAATTATATATAACATATAATACATATTATATAAATTAAAATATATGAGCAACTGTAATGTATAATATAATTAGAATAATTGCAACAATATACTGAAATAGAAAACACATGTTTTTGTAGATCCTAAAACTTAGCATAAATTTTTTTCTTTTTCACTTCAAATTTACAGATTTTGTTCAGCCTTTCAGAATAGAATCAGATGTTTTTTCATTTGTTACTTGCAACCAAGTAAAACATATAAACTGGTTAATTCTAAAAGTGACTGAAGACTTGCTGCTTATAAGGGACGAAACTCTTTATGGGTTACCTTTTTCTTTCTTTTTGTTTTCTTTAACATTAGAATTAAATGTCCCACTTGAAATGACACACTAAAGTGAAACAAAAAGGTTATTTATGTTTATGAAGAAAAATTGACAAGTTGTCGAAGGAGGCAAATATTTTTTATCTTATTTGTTTATTTATGTAAGTAAAACTGTTTGATGTTTTGAGTTATATAATCTTTACAAAGTCATACACACATATATCAATATTTGACATTCAGATATACAGCAACACATACCAGCCAAAAATATGTTAAATTAGAGGGAGATAGAGTTTATCATTAAAATATTTATGGGATCATATATAAAGCCAGTAAAAGAGTGAGAGAGAGAGGTGGCAAAATAAAATAAAATAAAAACCTAAAAAAAAAAAAAAAAAAAACAAAAAAAACTCCCCCCCCCAAAAAAAAACTGAAAAGAAAAACCCTAAATAATAAAATTGAAAAAAAAAAACCCTAAAATATTAAAATACCCTAAACAATAAGATTAAAACAAAGCTTAAATAAAAAAAAAACAAACAATAAAATTGAAAAAAAAACTTAAACAATTAAAATAAGCCCTAAACAATAAATTAAATAAAACAAAAAGAATAAAATAAAAAATATAAAGGTATAAAATAAATAAAAAAAAACTAACCTAAATAATAAAAAAATAATGTAAAAAATAAAAAAATTAACTAAGGAACACAAGAACCTAAATAACAAAAGAAAAAAAATAAAGAGGAAAAGAAAAATAAAAAAAAAAAGTCAAAGGAATTGGTAAATTGTAAAAAATGATTTGATCACAAAAGTCACTAGAAATATCAGTCAGTGAAGCCCTGGTTGAGAGAAAAAACAGGGCTCAGTTTTATTTGAGTTCAGTGATAAATCTTTTGAACTTTGAATAAAATATTATTAAATACCACAAATAGTCCCAGGACAGACAATGTTTGAAATTGAATAAAATCTTTGAGACATCTTGCTTTCAAAGAAATGGAAATAAAAATATAAAAACAAATTCCTAATTTGTAGAAAAGTTTAACAAGAAAAAACAAACTTAGCTACAATATATATATATATAGATAAATAGATAATATTAGTGGTTAATATATACATATATATATATATCTGAAATATATAAATATATACATATACAAACACACACACACACATATATATATAAAAATTCCAAGAGGATAGAATCCAGGTAGATTTTAATGTCCAGGACAGAGTAAGAATATAATAAAAAGGCTTAAACACTTCGGTCTGATGAATTGAATCATAATTACGATTCCAATGTAATAAATTATAACCATGGAATATTAGCCTTTTTATTATATATATATATATATCTCTCAACAACAAAAAGAAAATTATAAAAGAAAAATCCCGCCAAAAGACATGATTAGTTAAAAGTTTACTAATTGCCAAATGACAATTACAAGGTGAAGAGTCTCAATTGTTTATACAATTTGTTTTTAGACAAGCATTTTATTTATCACAAAACAAAATGGTGTTTCAAAGTACAGAAGTGAAAAGGTTTTCAAACTGGATGCTTTTCAATCATTTGTTTGTTTAGATTGTTACAAAATACAATTTGCAAAGTGAGGGATTAAAAAAAATAGAAACTTACAGGCTAGTGTATCGCAGTTGCCCTCCTGGGCCAGTCTGCTGGTTTTGCAAACGGGTTTTAACTAAATCGATCGGAAAGACACAAGTCACTCCAACAATCCCAGCAATGGCACCATTAATCACCTTTGGAAGTAAACTGCAAATAAAGAAAAAAAAAAAAAATGATTTTTATTGGGGGGGGATCAATCATATGCAGATTGATACACATACAAAGATATGAGATACTAAAGCATAGTGACAACTACAAAATGTGGACAATTTGAAGAATGCAGCCAAACCAAGTGTTCTCTCTTCTTGTTCTCTTGTTCTTGTAACGGCATTCACCCGAGATGGGTTGAGTCAGCTCCAATATTGGAGTTTCATGGGAATTTGGAATTCACAAGCGGTCCCCAAGCCCGCATGTATAGCACATGAGATTTGATTATAGTGGTGAAGGTTTCGTGCAGGACCATCCACACTTTTTGAAGGTCCGAATACAGAGACCTGGTGCACTACGTGCCATAAGGTCCCCAAACGACCCTCCACAGGTTTTAAATTCAGAGTGTAGTTTTAAATTTTTCACTTTCCTTTCTGAGATTGGGTTAAATACCGTAACTGAAGAGTGAGTGGGTGAATTTTAATGGCATATCAACCCTTGAGAGTTAATTAATGCTAAAACAGTTTTACCTTTCCTTTTTAAACATAGCTAATAGTCAATATTCAACTTTTTCCTCCAATGGCCATGTTTAATTTTCTTTTGTTCAATTTTTTTATTTATATTTGTTTGTGGAGGTTTGATAATATTTTAAGATTGTAAAAGATTTTAGATAATAGTGGTTTAGTGATTCAAGTCTTACTAATTAACCCATAGCTAAGGGAAGAAGAGGTGGATTCATACCTTTCCCAAAGATATTTGCCCATAAGTGAATATAACAAACCCAATGGAAATTGGAATTTGGGTCTATGATTAACAATTTTGAGTCATTATCCATTATACCACCCACACAAGAACTGGTGTTTCAATGTGATATAACTGTAATCCTGAAGAAGTGCTGAAGCAGTAGAGATTGAATCTTCCTGCCAATAACCTGTAACTTTCTTTTTGCTTGTTACAGATTTTTTTTTTTTTAGAATTCTGTGAAATTTTTTTTTTTATTTATTTTCCCAATTCATCAATTAGCAACCTTTTCCTTTTTACACAACAAAATTGAGAAAAGAAAGGGAGAAGAGAAAGAGGGAATAAAGGAAGAGGAGAAAGAACGGATAGAAGAGGAGGAGGAGGAGATAGGATAGAGGAGGAGGAGCGGATAGAGGAAGAGGAGGAGGAGAAAGAACGGATAGAAGAGGAGGAGGAGGAGAAAGAACGATAGATAGAAGAGGAGGAGGAAGAGGAGAAAAGAAGAGGGGAGAAAGAACGGATAGAAGAGGAGAAAGAACAGATAGAAGAGGAGAAAGAACGGATAGAAGAGGAGAAAGAACGGATAGAAGAGGAGAAAGAACAGATAGAAGAGGAGAAAGAACAGATAGAAGAGGAGGAGGAGGAGAGGAGAAAGAGGAGGAGAAGAACGGATAGAAGAGGAGAAGAGGAGGAGGAGGAGAAAGAACGGATAGAAGAGGAGAAGAACGGATAGAAGAGGAGGAGGAGGAGAAAGAACAGATAGAAGAGGAGGAGGAGGAGAAAAAGAACGGAAGAGTAGAAGAGAGGAGGAGGAGAAAAAGAACGGTAAGAAGAGGAGAAAGAGGATAGAAGAGGAGGAGAAAAAGAACGGATAGAAGAGGAGGAGGAGAAAGAACGGATAGAAGAGGAGGAGGAGAAAGAACGGATAGAAGAGGAGGAGGAGAAAGAACGGATAGAAGAGGAGGAGGAGAAAGAAGGGGAGAAAGAGGGATTAAAGGAGGAGGAAAAGCAGAGGGTAAGTAAAAAAAGCTAGAGAAAAATAAAAAGAAAAGCAGGTGAGAGGAAAGAGGAGGAGAAGAGCTATGTGCGACATTTCACCATCACAGTATTTTATATGGTTGGGTATGTGGCTCTAGGTCTGTTGTTCTACCACTGACTTCTTTGTATGTCTGCTGATCATCTTACTAGTCCAAAAAGGTGTTTGGTGACTGTTGTCAATGTTTGGACACAGACCAAAATCGGTTATATTGTCATGTTCATTTCCATTGCTTTCTTGTGATCAATATTTTAAAGTTGGTCCGTCTTCCTGCTAAAAATTTATATATCTTTTCAATGAGAGTTTGCATGGCATTAAAAAGCAAAAAGAATATAATATCTGAATTGACTATTTTTATTGCTGTTATGTTGTCAAAAATGACTCTTTGTTGCCACTTAATTGATGTTAACATATACTTGCTTGATAACTCACCAATGCCAACATAGTAGTGACTTTGTAATCACAGATACCAATTATAATACGCCATTAAACAATACGGGTGTCAGATGTCTTTGAATAATACTTGTAGTAATAGTACTTTGTATAGTGAGTAGAGAATAGAATAGTTGTCCAAACAGTATAGGGGATAGAGAAGAAATAGCAAAATACAGTAATAGAGAATAAACTAGGAAAGCAAAACATACATCTAGATGTCATGTGACTTCCTCTATATAAGCGTTTCCGCTACGGTCTCGTGATCTACCTAGTTTAATGAGATCCCCTGTGTTTATTGGTGATCTATGTTCAAACACAAATGTCAGTAGTGACACTTTATTCCTGTACTAGCTGCAGGGCCTGGCATTGCCCGTGCTTGATTCAAAAATCGTACGACTCATACAGCAATCGCTATCACTTGAATTAAAATATTTTTGCCCTTCCTTGCCTTTAAAGGAGTGCCCTTTGCCGTGCTGATGTTGCTACATGCCTTACTTCTTGCCTATCTCACACTGCAAATTTTTTCTAAGCTCTATACTAAACATTAAATCTGTTATGAAAAAAGAACTAAACAAAATGAACACAAAACGATCAGCTTTAAAAAAGTACTTATAACTGGAAAAACAGAATGAAAAAAATGTTAACGACAAATACTTTTTCACACCCAACCCAGAATCAACGTTGAGTTTAAGCAAGCAAATGAGCCAATTGGAGTAAAGTGCCATGCAGATTTAAATTTTTCCCACTTGTGACGAATGTAGCTATTGATTTTTTTTGCATGCTAGCATGCTAGTTAACATTCATGTCAGTCAGCTGTTGGCTCTCATGCTGGCCAATAGAATCTTCCTGCCTATTCGTGGCAGCCAGCTATAGGCTCTCACTGGCCAGTGAAAATTGCCGCAAACTACATGAAAACTGCCATAGAAGTATGAAAAAATTGATTATTTCCACTATCGATGGGAGTTGGGAAATGCAAAGTCAGTCTTGGCCTTCCCGCTAACTTGGAGCATGTAAATTTTGGTGCAAATCCGTTGAAAATTGCGGCTGTGCATTCGTTACGCACACATCCTGCCTTTTATAGATAGAAATAACAATTGCCTTCTGTAGAGAGATTTTAATTAATTTTTTGTCAGTGAAGGAGACACAGACAAATTGAGTGTGAGGGACTGACATTTTTTTTTGTCCTTTCTTAGCAGTTTCAGTCCCCCTATATTCACTCGGCAGATTGAGGAAATGTCGAGCAAGTCCAAATTCCAATTAAAGTTTGTTACATTCACTTGGACACAAATACCCTTGTGAAAGGTATGAATTCATCTCTTCTCCCCCTAGTTATGGATTAAATAGCAGGACAAACTGGGTCCTATAGCTTTGGATAGTAACTGGACTAGAAGGACAATTCTGGATTCAAAACATCCACTATGTGTTAAATTGTTTCACCAAGTCAGACCATAGGTCAATCAGGGAAAGGTCCCTTCAATAGGAACAAGGAAGACATAGATTTAAATGTTCACTATGAGGTTAGAATTTTCACTGAAAGAATTGAGAGGAAGAAAGTCCTTATATTCTCCTTTAACTGATAATCTTTTAATGTTCAACAAAGAAAGAATGCTATGTTTACTACTTTCATAAATGTTTTCTTCATTTTCTTATCATGGGTTTTTTTTTTTTTTTTTTTTTAGACTGATGTCAGTTCAAGAATTGGGACTTACAACCTTATCGCAAAATGATACTTTAGTGTAGTAATCATCCACTGATACTCTCAGATCACACACACCTGTTTCATTGTTGAACTTAAAATAATTGTTTTCAAAACTACCACTTTTTTGCTTATTTTACTTCTGGACTGTTTTGATACAATGCTTTCTATTGAAAACAGTCTGAGTTCAATTCTTGATAGTGGATGCACGCTGCTGATGAATACCAAATACGACAAAATGGCCATCCAGTGCTTTCTGCATTCTGTTGAGGATTCTTCTAGACTTGATGAAATACGATAATGCTTATTCTAATTCCTTAAAATTCTATCATTTGTATATATATATCAAATGGGTAAATATAAGTAAATGCCCAAGCAAGCATTTTTATACAAATACATACATACATATATATGTGTAGTAAAAAAACAGTGCTCAATGTTAAATAACAGAGATATTTAATATATTAAAAAATATACATAATACCCTACATAGTTACACAACTTGAAGTTTCATGCCATTAAATTAAAAGCATTAGTTCTGTTTCATCTTCAAGCGAATTTTGGAACAAAATTTATTTTCAAAATTCGCTTGAAGATGAAACAGAACTGATGCTTTTAATTTAATTATATAATTAAATTTTAAGATTTTAGCTTCGGGTTTTTGAAACATGGTAATTCCTGTGTAGCGAAGAAACCATATTACAAATCAGTTAATTTGTAATATATATATATATATATATATATATATATATATATATATATATATTACTCATTATAGGAGTTTAAAACAAAAACATGTTAAAATCGCTACACAATAACTTTTGTGTTTCATCACTAGGTTGTGCCTCTTCAGGCAATGATAAATAAGCAAATAGCTGGTGATAATATAAATCCCTATTCTGTATTGAGCCCTTTTTTTAAATGCTATGGATACTGAAATTATACTACATTTGTTCTTATCTTATACATGGAGACATATATATATATTTCCTGACAATCTGCTGGGTAGGTTTGTCCGGCTCACTAGGTTTGAATATATATATATATATATATATATATATATATATATATATATATATATATGTATATATATAAAAAGGCAGGATGTGTGTGTGTGTGTGTAACGAATGCATGGCCGCAATTTTTGACGGATTTGCACCAAAATTTACATGCACATGCTCCAAGTTAGGGGGAAGGCCAAGACCGACTTTGCATTTCCCAACTCCTTTGATAGTGGAAATAATCGATTTTTCCATGCTTCTATGGCAGTTTTCATGTAGCTTGTGGCCATTTTGTACTGGCCAGAGTGAGAGCCAATAGCTGACTGACACAAATGTTAACTAGCATGCTAGCATGCAAAAAAAAATCGATAGCTGCATTCGTCACAAGTGGGAAAAATTTAAATCTGCATGGTATTTTACTCCAATTGGCTCATTCGCTTGCTTAAACTCAACGTTGATTCTGATTCCACAGAACTGGGTTGGGTGCAAAAAACTATTTGTTGTTAACATTCTTTTTTCATTCGATTTTTCCAGTTACGAGTCCTTTATTAAAGCTGATCGTTTTGTGTGCATTTTGTTTAGTTCTTTTTTCATAACAGATTTAATGTTTAGTATAGAGCTTAGAAAAAATTCGCAGTGTGAGATAGGCAAGAAGTAAGGCATGTAGCAACATCAGCACAGCAAAGGGCACTCCTTTAAAGGCAAGGAAGGGCAAAAATATTTTAAGTCAAGTGATAGTGAGTCGATGATTTTTTAATCAAGCAATGGGCAACGCCAGGCCATGCTGCTAGTATATATATATATATATATATATAGTTGGATTGATGTGAGTTTGTGAACCTGGGTTTCACGCTATTTGTGATTGTCTGATGATTGCAAATAGTGTGAAACCCAGGGTCACAAACTCACATCAATCCAACTAAATATGTTAGCTCTATCACTGATATTGAGCACTTTCCAATAAGTACCATGCATATATAATATATAAATAATATATATAATAAAATTGCATATATATATATATATATATATATATATATAGGATCGTCACTAACATTTTCCATGTTGTCATATATTTTCCCCAATATATATATATATATATATATATATATATATATATATATATATATATATATAAAAAATCAAATTGAAAGTGTGTAATGGCCAAAGAACTGCTTGGATGCTTTTTGATGATTGTGCTAGCACCAAGTCACTAGTCTTTGTGACCGAGGGTTTGCACATATTGACCTTGTTCAAGAAATTGATCATGTCAGCTTATACACTCTTTGGATTTACCAGGCATCTGTAATAGGTTTGTGCTCGCCATCCAGGCAGACAAGTGTGCTTGGATACGAGCAGTAACCTGTTATATTATTATAAGCTCTACCTTGTATTGAACATAATTACCTTCATCTCTCTCTAATAATCAAATTAAATTTGAGGAATATTGATGATTGCAGTTTTTGTTATTTAGCCACACCCCAACCAAGAAATCAATGACAGTTTAGGTGACCTTTTCTCATAATCCCAATTACAAGTCAAGTAGTTAATTAATACATCTTTGTTAATCACATAATTTGTTTGTCAACTTTGGATCTGCAAGAGTTGTCTTTCTTGCTTTATTATTTTTAAAATTCTTTCCCATACCTTTACTTCTTGATTTCTTCGTATTTTCACTCCCCCCCACCCCGATTATGCTTCTCTGTCCATCCCTCTTCTTGTTTCTCCTTTCCACTCTCACTTCTTTTTTTTACATTTGTCCTTTATTTCATTTTTTTTTCTTCTCTCTCTTCATTTCATTCTCATCTTCCCTTTTATATCTTCCTTTCATTCTCATCTTTCTTCTTTTCTCTCATCTTCCTTCCTTCCTCATTTTTCTTCCTTTCATTCTCATCTTTCCATTCTTATCTTTCTTCTTTCCTTTCTCTCTAATCTTTCTTCCTTCCTATCTTCCTTCCTTTCTTCCTTCCATTCTCATCTTTCATCCTTCCTTCCCTCCTTATCTTCTTTCC